TTTTTTTTTTGTACAAAAACCACAAAGTAAGTTGCTAAGTAGGGAGTGTTTACAACATTCTTTTTGAGTCCAAATTACTTTGTCCATCTTATATGATTTTGTTTGATTATTCCAAAGCCAAAATTCAAGTAGTACTCAGGCTATGGACCTGTCATAAAGCCATTGGCTCAACAAGTTGAGCATCTATAGTAGTCTAGTTCCTTCCTACCTTTTTTCCACACAATTGAGGCACTCACATACAACCAAAAGTTAGAAATGGGATGGTGGGATGATTGGGATCCTGAGGTTTCAGGTTCGAAATTTGGGAATGTAAAATTTCTTATTAGATCGTGTTTTACTCTCCTTTGGTATACCTCTTTGGCACAAATCCAATTAGTAGGATTAACGGGTTTAAAATTATAGGTCACGAGTTCGAGCTGTGGAATCAACGATTAATGTTTACATCTAGGTGGGTTGCCTAAATCACACCCTCTTGGGATGCAACCCTTCCTCGGACCCTGTGTAAATACAAGATGACTCGTGTATCGAGTTGTCCTTTTTTTAAACAGGTTTAAGATTAATCCGGTCAATTATTTTCTGATTAATCGAGTCAGTGAATTTTGGATGCCCAAAGCAAATATAAAAAATAAAAATACAACAATATTGAGGTAGTCGTATCGAATTAATTAATTATGTGATCTTTCCTTGTGTTATGGTCCAAGAAGCAGACAATAAGGGATTTGACAATTCAATGTCAAAGACAAAATGGGCTTGTTTCGTGCGACAAACCTTCTTGGCTTAGACCATGTAATAAATACTAGCTGGTTTTTGGGATTTATTATTTCCAGTTGATGATTGTGATGAAAATTATATACTAAAAAAACCTATACACAAGATTGTGTCACGTCTTTTCTGGGAAAATTTCGTTCAATTGATCACTGTATAAAACATGGATGCAGCACAATATATTATGGCCACTGCACTACCCTAGCTAAATAAAAGGTCTTTACTTTGAACTTGAGTGTACGTACAGTGGAAATAATATAATAACTGTTGCTCCTAAGTTTAGTAAGCATGGAAATCAGGAACTTTGGCAAGGGAAGAAATCAGAGACAGACGTTGAACTCAGAGTATTAATTGAAAAATGGCAAACCATTGGAAATCACATCTGTTACTGATAGCTGATGGGAAAGATGTCTCTTCTGATCTTTTGGTGGTGTTACTGACTCATCTTGATCCGAGTGAAGTTGACCTTGAGATCATAGTATGAGAGTGATTTCAAGCTGTATTCCATCACTTTAGAATTGTGGTTGGAACCTTTTTATTTTTAAATAATCGCGGTATCTAAATCAACTTACGAGCACCCACCGCAATATGTACCAGGTAATTCTGCTTACTAAAAATTTAGACGAATGTGATTAGAACAACGACAGCAACAACTCAGTATAATTTCACTAGTAGGGTCTGGGGAGGGTAGTCTGTACGCAGACCTTACCTCTATCCTAGGGTAGAAAAGCTGTTTCCAATAGACCATCGGCATCCCTTCCTCCAAAAACTCCCCACCTTGCTCTTGGGATAACTCGAACTCACAACCTCTTGATTAGAACCTTGCCTTTTTCCTATCTTGATTCACATTGGCGGCACAACTTCCAGTTCTAGTATAAGGAAGCAAGTTTATTCCCAATACCCAATGACCTAATGATAATTCTTCTTCTAAGCCATTTGATGGTTTCCCTCGACCCTTCGCATGCATTGGAAATCAGATCAATATTTCCTTTACTACTTTGAATTTCCCTTATGATAAATTATAGGCTTCTCTAAAGGAAGTCAAGAAGTTTATGAGACTTGAAATCTGAGTTAATTATGCATTTCGTTTCATTTGGAGGGTTTTCCTTTATTCAAATTTTATATGGACTAATGTAAAGATTTGGAGGGGCATGTAGCTAAAATGTGCAGTGTCGAGAGAGCCGCACAAACCACAGATAACATATGAAACGCAAATAGATAGTTGATACTAAAATACAACAAATAATTACTTGATGCTTAAAGCTCAGAGAAGAAATCGTGGGAGTGGTTTCTGTACATTTTCAGCATCGACAAGCTAAACATCCCTAGAGGTGTCAAAACAGTTCGAATATACAAAGGAATAATATCGTTGATTTTGTGGCATTGAAGTAAATTCGATTGACTATACCACATTTGATGCATTTCTTCATATTATTCTGCAACTGGAAAATCAATGCTATAGATGATTTGAAATGCAAATGAACTATAGAAAGCATTGGAACTATAGCATTAACTGAAGCCTCGTGGTCTGGGAGAAAACAGAAGCTTGAAATTATCATTCTATTCATTGCTACACTTGAAAGAAGTACAAACGCGCTACTACGGTAGCATTAATCCCAGATCTGCGGGGAAAGGCAACAAGAACTCCTAAACAGAGTCTCCTCTTTACATCAGAGTAGAAACACATGCTCTATGTAATAGTTTAACTAAGGCCTGGCGTTATCACCTACCTTTGAATGTTGAGCATGGCCTTAGCTTCCATTTGCTCTTCCATTAAATCCTCACTAGCATACTTGCTCAAGAGCTCCATCTTCTTCTGCTCCACTACCATCCTTTCAATCTCCTTCTCGTCCGGCAATGGTACATGTACCACAAATTCTTTTTCTTTCTCCTCCTCCCTCTCCTTTTGCCTCCTCTCCTCCTCGATCACATCCTCTTCCTCCTCGAACAATATCTTTGATCCCAAACCCACCTCCACTACCTCCCCACTTTTTACCGCCTTCATGGCTTCCCTCTTTATCTCTTCCATCTCCATCCATTCTTTCACAGCTGCAGCCTGCATCTTCTTCTCTGCTGGTCCCTCCAACTTCTCCAATATTCCATCCTCTTCATCTCTGTACCCGTAGTAGCTGGCATCAATCCTCTTGTATATATCATACCTGCAGAATTTCAGCAAACAAATCAACATAAGGATTGGCGAAATAATATAAAGCATAAAAAGATCTAACATGTATCCCCACAAAAATCATTAAATAACAAAGTAATATTTACAGCATGAAAAAGAAGTATCCAACCAAAGCTCTTTTATTCAAACTTAGATTGTCAAATACAACAAAATGTAAATGGCTACATTGCACTTAAAAAAACAAATCTGTTTTTTTCCAAGAATGTAGTTTACTCTTCCAAGAATGAAGAATGAGCATGGGTGATACTGACTTGTGGTCGATGAGATGCCATCATACATGCATAAACAGATTAAAACTACGCAAAATTTCTGATAAACTAAAGTTCATAAGTCATAAATAAAACTTGCAACCTACTAAACTAACAATCTGTCCATATTCCTAATATTTTTTAAGGAAAAAATCTTAACAAGCTTTCTTTTACTAATATCACTTTCGTACTGACCATGCATAAGGATGTCAGTTAAAGAAGCGGGTCATTAAATTGGTGACAAGGCTAGTGGCTGTAAGAAATGCTATTTGATAAGTGTAGCAGGACTAAGATGCCAATCTTAAATGAAATGAAGCAAATACCACTGCTTATAGACTTTGGCTGCAGCTTTAAAACCTGCTTACTTGATAACTGTGAGCAGGCTGGAAGAAGTGCCAACAGATGGGTTGTCAACCTTCTTTCTCAACTTCACACACATTCACAAGATGTGTTTATTTGTGTTTTCTACATATTCATCTTCATCCAACAACAGCACTATGCATTTTACACGAGCAAATATTTTCATCTGGTAGGGAAAAGCTCATGTAGAGGAAGGGCGTTCTTCTTATTTTCATTCCTCGAAAAATGTTCTACGGTTTTGCAGAGGGAAGCCCATAATTGACAGCGGACTGTGATTCATTAATGATGAACAAATAGACTTCTTGGTCAGTTCTCCACCTTCACAATGGAGAATAGGGCTGTTTAAGTTCTAATGGCTCTAATTAATAAGGACCATCGAAGTTGTCAAAAGTGGAAGGTACATGAAAGCGCCAACCTTTGTTAAGGCTCTAAGCAAAACTATGTCCTACATTTGAAATTGTCAGAATGGTATTATAGACATTTCATATGTATAAAAAGTCTATCATGCCCTTTGTGAAGTAAAAAAGGTAGAATTTTGCAATTTAAAATTTGAATTTGATTCTCTCATCAAGTTAATTATATCATATGTTCCCAATGCATTGAAGGATAAAATATTAGGGATTTATTTTTAACTTTTTGTAGCACGAGACATACGTTGAAGAAATTAAGTAGTTATATTAGCTCCTCTATTCTTCTTTTTCATTTAGGAATAAGGTGTATAACATGCATCCATTAATTATAGCTTCTCTTCTTTTTCATTTATGTTCATGCAAAACACCTTATACATCTTCCATTAGTTATCACAAAGGGCAACTACTTCGGTTCTTCTTTTCATTTAGGGGCACGGCTGCACGCTATAGGACTTCCATCAAATATGGCTTCTCTGCTTAATTTTTGTTTAGGTGCATCGAAAACATCTTACCGTACACCTTCCATTAGTTATCTTTGTAAAAGAATAAAGGAGCTATAACTACTTACTTTTTCAATGTATGTGGCATGCAACAAAAAGCATTTTTCCCGCCATTAGTATATTCTATTTCTTTTTGAAATGGAAATAGGTGAAATATAACAATTATTTTATTTCTTTATGCCTATATTCCCACCCAATGCATTGAAGAAATAAAATAGTACTATCAACTAATGCATTGGAAACATAAGACAATTAATTTGATGAGAGAAAACCAAATCTTCTTGCGAGAGGTTTTATGTAAATCAAACTTCCTTGCTGTCATATAGGTCCCTCTTCTCTTGCTGATTTAGAACTCGAGGAGGAGAGAGGCTCTTCTGCTGCAAAACCTTACTTTTTTTATGAATAGTATAATAAACATTTTACACATATGAAATGTCCATAATACCCCCGTTCTAGCCATTTTTTGTTTAATCACAATAATTTGCAAGCATAATTAAGTCCGTATAAAAAGCGCCTTTTAACTTATATATAAGGAAGTATTTTTAACTTCAACATAGGTTTGAAACATCGCTAAATTAGATATCAGATATGAAATACTTTTAACTTCTTTTAATCATTGAATAAGAAGACAATGTTATGACTTCTTCCATATATAAGAGACATTATATTAAGGTCATTTAAAAAAAAAAGCAGATTAATTCTTCTATTTTTAAAAATAGTGCCTTTTTACACTGTTTTTATCTCAAGATCTTGTATTTCTATTGATTGCATTGGCAAGAGAAAGATTTCTAACCTATTAAGCTAAGGTTCCCAAGACGTGAATTTCCCATCTTTTCTCTATTGCAAATGCAAAAGCCAAAAGAGGCCACTTTGCTGAGCTTTTAGCGAGCATAGAAGGCAAATTGCATGCGAGTACACCTTAGGAGAAATTTACAAGACCGCGAGATAGATGTGGTGAGACTCCTGCACAAACTTTACAGTTTCACAAGTCTGGAAATGTTGATAATATAGTGGAAGGATCTTCCTCCCGGTGTTCTTATGTAAAGTCATATTATAATCTATTTGTTGACAAAGCTGTCTCAAGACGCATTTGGATGCCTCTACGGAAACTGAAGGCACCCATAAGTAGCATGTTTAATTGTTGTAGGTTCTCTACTTTTGGTATACAACTAGTATACGGGGCTTCCACATCATCAATAAAATTATTTACCTTATCAAAAAAGTAGCATGTTTAAAATTGTGGGCAATATGAGGACACAATATCGACAGCATGTTTTTTAGGGATGAAGTATAGCCAGTGACAAACGAACATTTTAAAAGGAGGAGACACTTAGCTGTTAGATGGTTTTATTGATTCCAGAATCATGGAAAGGACATGGATTATCTTTTGTTCCATTGTGGTTTGCTTCGGAATAATGGGCCATAGTACTCTGCATTTTCGATGTCTGATGAGTACTACTAGAAATGGTTCAGATACATGTCAATAATTCCCTTATTCCTTTTAAGCTTCTCATCGTCCAATGGGTATCCACAGGGACAATGGTAGAGACAACAGAGATGCTAGAAGAAAAAACTTGTAGAAGACCCGCCCCCTTTACATAATTTGTTCATTATTTGTATTTTTTTTTTGTGTTGTCCCTTCTGGTCTGTATTTTCATTAATGTAGTGCTTATGCTTTCCTGAGCCGAGGGTCTATTGGAAACAGCCTCTCTATCCTCACAAGGTAGGGGTAAGGTCTGCATACACACTACCCTCCCCGGACCCCACGGTGTGGGATAATACTGGGTATGTTGTTGTTGTTGTAAGTAGTTGGCTAAATTTTTGGAAGCCTATTGCATACTTGTATTGATTGCTTTTTACTGCTTGAGTAGCCAAGGCAATCTCAAGTCAATTCATAGTTTTCCAACACGACCTTATTTATAGAATATGAACTATGTCAAAACACCGTTTTCGAATATATCACTGACATTTAATAAACTGATCAACCAAAAAAGTTGAAAAAGCAATTTTTGGCCGCAACACCTCTATTTTAAATATGTTAAGCAAACATGTTTTCTTTCTATCCGACTTCAAGTGTGTGCTCAGATCACTGAAATGTCCACATTCACCACTGGCTGTTATTTTTGAGAAAGAAATCAAAATATAACAACCAATTGAAATGACAGTGTTTCATCAATTTACGAGAGCATGTCGCCCTTTCATTGTCTTCTGATCTCCTTTAATTGTTAGGAAGGGTAGGTGGATTTCCTAGGCAGCTAACTCAATATTGAAAACCCTACTTCCTATGTAAAAGTTTCAGTAATTTGCATTTTGCCAAAGCAAAAATATAACTTTGTATATGCTTCAACTACTTTCAATGTAATCTCTAAACATCAGTACAACGAGAATTCAAAACCCAGCTGTCTTAGGTTAGTTTTTTTTTCTTCTTTTGTTTTTTGATGCCCATGAAATCTGTCAGCAGCCAAGTTGACAGGCAACCTTGGGACCAACTGTAGCCTTCGAAATTCAGGGATAATGGCCCACCCCTCTACCCTTATCTACTTAAATACCAAGCTTAGTTTGCATCGCACAATGCTTGAACATGTGGCCTAAGTCCCAAGTTCCCGAGCCTTTGCCACCTGAACTAAGCCCTGGGGACTATTTTCGGGTAGTTTGTATCATATAAAAAAATTAGTCATTTTTAATAAATTCCTATAAAAAAATTTCTACTAATTCTGAAAAGCTACTCGTGATACCTAACATAACGGTTGTACTAAACAAGCACCAATAAGGATACGTAAACCAGATAACACAATGTAGCACCAATGAGGCCAAAATCAATCAATCAATCAATCAAACAACTACGAGTCAATATCAAGCTAGTAAAAAATCACTTATACAAATGCTCGTAAGCATATAAATACTTACCTTGTTCTTCGTTTTCGCAATTCAGGAGGTTTCTCAAACAACTCCCTAACACCAGGCAACTTCTTCGCAGCACCAAAATACCTATACCCAGGACCACGTCCACCCGGGTTTGGAACATCAACAATATTCCCTTCCAAATCCGTCATTTTAGCCGAATGCTTAGTATAATTAGGCCCACCAAGTTCAATAATCCTCCTTTCCCAATGTCCTTTTTCTCTAATCAACTTATTAATCTCATCATTTAGGTCTCTTAATCTGTGTTCTCCTAATCCTTCGTTTTGGATCTCGGCTACTTTTCGACCGATTTCTCGCATAATTTGCTGCCTCCATTTGTCTGCTTCAGCTAAATCTCGACACTCTGAGGCTAAATATGGGCGCCGTTCTTTGGGCTTTTTCTTTTCTTCTTCTTTCATTGTGATGAATCGATTTAACATTGACTGAGCTTTCTCTTCATTACGCGCCATGGCTGGTTCTGTGAATTGCCAAGAACTGAAACCCTATAGATTTTTCAGTTGGGGATTTGGGGGAAAATCTTAAACCCTAGAAGGAGAGCAATTTCAGAAGTTTATACGAGAAGCTTTTCGCTTTGTTCAGATTTTCGGGGTTCAGTAGTTATCGAGTGCATCGAACGACGTCGTGTGTATTTCTCAATTTTATTTTAGTTTTGAATCTTAAACCTACATGTTAGAAGGATAAAGTTGTAGTGATTGTATAGCCTGTTTGGCCAAGCTGCAAAAATCAGCTTATTTTAAGAAATGCTTTTTTTAAAAGTATTTTTGGTGAGAAGCAGTTTGTGTTTGGCTAATTAGTTTGAAAATCACTTCTAAGCAGCAATTAGTGTTTGGCCAAGCTTTAAGAAATTGCTTCTAAGTGTATTTTTCTCAAAAGTGTTTCTCAAAAAAGTGCTTTTGGAGAAAAGCTACTTTTTTTGCTTCTCCTCAAAAGTACTTTTTTTCCTTCCAAAAGTTTGGCTAAACACATCAATTTTTGGCCAAAAGTGCTTTTGGCAACAAAAAAAAAACACTTTTGACCAAAAAGAAGTTTGGCCAAACAGGCTAGTAGTAATAATAAATAGTATTTGCTTTTTCACCATGGTGTTCCGTACTTGTTTTGGAGCTTCTACTAATTTGAATTGCAAGTAATAATTGAAATAATATTTGAAGATTATTTCAAAAGACTATTTATTTATTGAATTGGCCTATTATTTAGCTTCAAACTTGAAATATAGCCTTTGCGATTTTAAGAACATGTTTTAGAAATTTTTTGCAACTTTTCACGCACAAACCTTGAACTTTATTTTTTTATGTCCAGACATAATTTGGACTTACAATTCAATTTTAACTCCAAATACTATTTTTATCAAATCACAAGTAAATCATGTCCAAATGCCTAGTATTTGCCTGTTTCATCAAGCTTTTGGGAAATCAAAAGTATCTTTTTCCAAGCTTTTGAAAAGTCAAAAGTGCTTTTTTTAAAAAAAAAAAAAATATTTTAGAGAGTTTAAGTGTTTGGCCAAGCTCTTGATGGGAAAAAAACTTTTGGATAGCAGCAGAAATTGAAAAAATAGCTTTTCTTGAAAAGCATATTTTGAACTTTGATCAAGAATTAATTGCCGCTCTAAAATTAGCAAAAATATTTTTTAAATTAATTAATCAAACACAAATTACTACTCTCAAAAAGCACATTTTTGAAAAGCATTTACGCAAAAAGAAAATTTGGTCAACATATTATAATGCAGCAGCTATTCAATATAGAGTCATAGAGAACATACTTTATCTAACACATAAGCCATAGGTTCATTAAAAAATAATGCATACAGCCACACAAATAAGTCGAAGAGCACACGAACATGCGTATAAATAGATGTCAAGAAATTAAAAAGGACCCAAAAAAAAAAAAAAAATTAGCTAGCATAATTTTCTCGTTGTAGTTGCGTATACAAGTAATTACAAGCCTTGGAATAAGGAAAACTTTAGGGGTCATTTGTTTAGAGGGGATAGAAAATATTTTAATATACTAGTCTTAAGGTACGCGCGTTGCGTTTGTATCCCATACTATATATATATGCAAAAAATCTATTCATAAGGATAAAGTAACTCCCGACATAACATTACAAATATTATCGTTCACTGCAAAATAATATTTACACTATATTTTATTCATGACAACAACAACAACAACAACAATCCAGTATAATCTTACGTGTGGGGTTTGAGGACGGTAGTGTGTACGCAAACCTTACTCTTACCCCGAGGTAGAGTACTATATTTTATTCACAACATCAAATAATCTTTACACTATAATTTATCTACATAATCACAACCAATTTATTATTATTAGTACTACATAAATAATTCATGCCTTACAATCTCACATAATTAGTATATTAACCAAACAAATATTTTGAAAATTTATACTCAAAAATAAATAAAAGAACCTTTCTTGTCTTTATTCCAAGTAGGCGGGTAAAAGCCGTCAATAACCGCCAAATGAGTAAACGGCTGTAACTGAATTCATTAAATCCCGCCAAAATCCCTTCTCTTTACACTTCACTCTCTTCTCTGTTTCTCTGCAACAATGGCTTCTCCTCCGAACTCCAAAATTGACAAACTCCTTCCTGTAAAATCAGATATTCTTCCAAAAAGAAACGACAAGCTCCGCCCTGTAATGGCTAATGATGATAACAAGTCCCGGAAGAAAGCCAGAGCTCCTCGAAATTTCGCAAAAGACGATCTTCGAATGCAAGCCAGAGACATTCTTGGCTCTCCAAATCATGACGCCATAGAAACACTCATTTCTAAATTAGCATCACCTACTGAAACAGTTTTATCAGAAGCCGAAAACTTGTACTATTTCTTAATGCGTGAATACCCAAATGCATTGTCTTTGAAAATTTCAAAGGTTTTACTTCACTCTCTGACTCGCCCTAAAATCAAATCCGAATCTGCATCTCTTCTTCAGAATCTGCTCGATTCGCCTAGTCATTACGAGAGTGTGTGGAATTCCATCTCCCCCATGATCAAAACCGATCTTAAAAATTGCGTTTCTTGAAATTCTTAGACATGAAAATTCCAGTAGAATTTGTAAGCCAATCTGGAAGACAGTATCTGCGGTATTCAACTGTATTATTACCAAGAAACAAGGCGAGTGGCCGGGTATGTTCAGTTGCTTTTACGAGCGTTTACATTCGGGTCCATGGTTCGTTCAAGATTTCGCCCTTATGTTCTTTTTGAAGTTGCCAATGAATCTACGTAAACAATTGGAACCTTATGTTAACTATCTCTATTTAGACTTCTTGGATAAACTTAATTCTTGTAATGGAATGAGAAAAGTTTTAGCCTTGGCTGCTTCAATTCATCTTGTTGGACAAATCTAGTGATTATTATTTTCTGTTAAATGGTCTACTAATGCCAATGGTAAAAGGGGTCTTGAGTTTTCTCATTAATGATAACGAGGAGAAGTATGCGCAGGAAAGTCTAAGGAAATTAGTCGAGTTAGTATGGGTTGAACCAAGATTTTTCGAGTCACATTTGGATGAAGTGTTTGATACTATGGTTACCATTGCTGAGAATAATCAATTCGGAGAAGATACAAGATATCCTGCTGTAGAAATGATGAGTGTTTTTTGATGATAACGTGATAAAACGGGTACATAAAAAGATCCTAAGAAGGCTGTTTTCTGTGTTGGTTGGCATGATTTCGCGTATTGAGGATGAACCAATGGGTGATGTAGACTATGTGAATGGTTTATGTTTGGGAACTTCGCGGAATTATCTTCTTGGAGTAACTTTTATGTATAGGATTTCAATGATCAAATTCGTATGCCTGTTTTACTCAAGGTAATACCAACGTATATGGCTGCACCAGAATGGCAGAAACGATATGCAGCAGTTACAGTCATTGGTGTCATTGCAAAAGGATGCGCGAAGGTATATGCTCCTCTCCTGGATATGTGCTGTTTGATCAGAAAATTGATTGCTAAAAATGGTCACTTCTACAAGTTGATTGCTAAGCATATACACATATACATTTCATGCAGAACATGTATATGATAGGATAGTTGGTTTGGAGAACGAATGTTTATTTATTTTTTCCCCCCAAAAGTTCTTGTTATGTCAATGGAAATTACAGAAATTTTTCATGCTTTATATCGTTAAGAGTGTTTGAACCTCTGAATTGGCTCATGGATCAATTGGTTAGAAGTTGCAAGACCTTTTCTTTATAAGTTGTGACTCCATTTTTACCTAAAGAACCGTTGGTATGCTTTTATTACTCTCAGGCGATGAGGGATCATCTTTCTGAAGTGATGAATATGGTCTTGAAATCAATGCTAGATTCTTCTCCCCATCTTCGTCTTGCTGCTATTGGAACAATTAAAGCTATGAGTTTAGAACTGTCTCCAGATCTGCAAGATAAACACGGTCACAGGCTTATTGCTTCGCTATATTTGGCGCTTGCAGATGACCACTATCCCCACAGAGAGGTGAGGAAGACTAATCTGTGCTAATAGCCAAATTCAAATATTTAATGGTTTTTCCTTGTCAGTATCATTTTGACATGAAATCAACTACGACAGAGTTTTGTTCGTTTACTTTAAGTCGTAATTCTGATGATATGCTGCTATGACCATCCTCCTTATTATGAACTCTCTTATTGTTTTCTGACAAAAAATCATTTTTTGTAGGCTGATGCTGCTTCGGCAATGAATTACCTTTGTGAGGGCTGCAAGTCATGCATTTTAGAACCTTACTTGGACAAAATTGTGAGCAAATTACTTGCCCTCATCCAGGTACACAGTTTATAGCAAATTACGCTCCTATATTTTACTTTAGACAGTTTATAATGTGTTGGACTATGAATTTAATGAATGAAAAGTACTGTTCCATTACACTGATAACTTTGAATTAGATCAGCTTAAAGGTTTCTAGGAAAAAGATATACCATTTTGTGCTAATTTGAAGGTGTTTAGATTTGAATTGGCATTTCCTTTAGCTTAAACATGTTGTTTGCTTTTGTTTAACTTCCCGTTAGAGTCCAAGTCCTGTGCTGCAAGCCGAGGCCTTAAATACTCTAGCATCAGTGGCAAGATCTGATGGATTATTATATGCAACGGAAGCAATCCCAGTATCAAAATCACATGTAATTTAGACAACTAGCATAAACGGGATTTTACGGGTTACCTCTTGAAGCGTAAACATATCTCTTCTACCATGTGAGCCTTCAGTTCCATAACTTCTCAATGGAATCTCCATCACCTGCACAATCGTGATCCTCGAACGTTCCACGGTCTTCTACTGTGTTACCCAAATAATACCCGAAAATAGCAATTTCGTGTGGGCGAAATTTCTAGGAAAACTTGGCTGAAAATTTCAGCCACCATCTACTCATCCGTCTAGGTGGAAAACCTTATGTATTTATAGCACAAGTTTTAAGGGTTAAGACCCTTTTCCAAAACCTGTTAGGTTTTCTTTTCCACCAGAAAAAGGATTCCTTTATTTCCTTTTATTTATGCACAGTAGGGACCACAGAATTTAATTAACAAGGCTTCCAATTATGGAATTAATTTGTAATTTT